AAAGTTACACAAAATGTAGTGAAGGAGGGAAAGGGGATAGGAACAGAAAATGTAGATAGTGAACCACAAAGTTACACAAAATGTAGTGAAGGAGGGAAAGGGGATAGGAACAGAAAATGTAGATAGTGAACCACAAAGTTACACAAAATGTAGTGAAGGAGGGAAAGGGGGATAGGAACAGAAAAGGTGGACAGTGAACCACAAAGTTACACAAAATGTAGTGAAGGGTGAGATGAAGTAGGGAAAGGGGGATAGCAACAGTAAAGGTGGATAGTGAACCATAAAGTAACACAAAATGTAGTGAAGGGTGAGATGAAGTAGGGAGGGGGATAGCAACAGAAAAGGTGGATAGTGAACCATAAAGTAACACAAAATGTAGTGAAGGAGGGAATGTGGGATAGGAACAGAAAAGGTGGACAGTGAACCACAAAGTAACACAAAATGTAGTGAAAAATGTCACGAGTTAATATCATTCAAAATAAGTGGATCCATAGTTACGTGACTTCATGCTGAGTTAACTTTTTATCAAGTAGTTTTCTCTTCTAAGAGATACTTAAATTGTTTGACTTTAAATTTCAAATATTTTCGTTTCTTTTTAGAATTAAAGAAATAAAAGTTAACACAATCTGTAAACAACAAATCTTGCGAGAAGCACGAACAATATATTGTTGGTATCTTTATAATCTCTTCAGAACACAAAGATGTTCAATATTTTATGTGTAATTATTGCTCTATTATATTAAAACAGAGACCCGAGGAAAAGTAAGTCCTCTAAAACTTACAGTTTTGTACTGGTGTGTGTGTGTTCACTGGTAATTTTATAGACTTCCCTAATTATATAAATAGATTATTGTATCTTGTACGAAACGAACTTACATAGATGTATCTACACATTAAAATAACATCGGGAAACTGATGCCATCAAACGTGAATAAAGAATTTTGCAGATATTACGATAATTATAACTACAATTAAATTATATTTACTTATAAATAAGTTGAAAGTAAATTAATTTAAAAATTAAAGGTAGGTGGAATTAACATGTTAAATTTCAGCTCATAACTTCTAAATTGTTTAAATTTTGTTGTTATTAAACATTTTGCAAGTTCATCCTACCGGGTGTTTTCCATGCAGTGCCCTAAAATAGAAAAAAACATAATTCTAAAGACGTTGACAATAACAATGAAACTTAAATTATCAAAAACATAATAAAAATAAGTTATTACATACGAATTCCAAGTTTTGTGTAATTGTATTTATTAAAGAAAAACTGTTAAAATTAGAGGACAGGTATATAAAAATATCCCACATATACTTCTATTGCATAAAATACACACGTTTAAAATACACAGGTTTCTAGTATGAAAGACCACATTGATACACACGTTTCTAGTATGAAAGACCACATTGAAACACACGTTTCTAGTATGAAAGACCACATTGAAACACACACGTTTCTAGTATGAAAGACCACATTGAACACACGTTTCTAGTATGAAAGACCACATTGATACACACGTTTCTAGTATGAAAGACCACATTGAAACTCACGTTTCTAGTATGAAAAACCACATTGAAACTCACGTTTCTAGTATGAAAGACCACATTGATACACACGTTTCTAGTATGAAAGACCACATTGATACATACTATTTTAGTTTGTTTTTGAATTTATAATTAATATTTACTGGTCATTCTCACTGATCGCTCTTTTTTTAGCAGTCTAAATTATGTATGAACAACAAACATACAAACACGATACGATATGCAGTTGACTGGTTACTTTTAGATGCCTCATGTTGTGACTGAGCACCTTTAGATGCCCCATGTTGTGACTGAGCACCTTTAGATGTTTCTTGTTGTGACTGAGCACCTTTAGATGTTTCTTGTTGTGACTGAGCA